TCTTGTGAGAAAGCAATGTGTTTTTCTCTGGAGTCTACGAACCCAACGTGTGTGTGTTCGTGGACACGAAACAGAAAGAAATCCGAGGTTAGATTTCTGGAACTTGAGTAAGATGGAAAAGATATAAGATGGCTTAAATAAACACAGAAAGGCGCTGAACTGAATGGTTTGTATTTCTCAAACAATATAAACCTATTTGACAGATAGCAAATTGTGACGTATTTTCATATTCATTATTTTCCACCAGAGATAGAATTTATTATTTGCCCCACATTACTGTACAATTCAGTAATTATAATTAATTATGCATCGCAGATTTCTCCTTAAAAATAATCAACTTAGTCTCCGTAAAAATTTTAAAAGATATTAGCAACAGATACTGCAGAGATACATTACATTTTTAATAAAACCAATTAGAAAAGTCATTAATTAAAAATTCTCTTATTCTCTCAGATCAATGTACTGAATTGCTAACTAGCTTAGTTTAAAAATGTACATAACATCAGAAACTCCATTACAATTATAATTGAGGAACAGGTCTATGTACTAACAAGATAAAAACATACGAAAAGCTGATTCGTGCATTTGTGAATCTAATGCTTTCGCAGACATGAAGTCTTTGTCACAAAATTTAACAGGTGATTTATAATCGTTGATATTCTGGCATGGCACAATCTAAACATATCCTTAATAAGCAACGACGTATTCTCGGAAGATCAGCGGCGTTTTAATCCAACGTTCGGGAGACCGTTTCTGCCTCTACCGTCAGGGCAGATATTAAGGCTTATCGCATTCATTCGGTGTGAAAGATTCAACTCTAAAGATATCCAGAGAATTATAGCAATGCTAAATTAATGGATCCATTGACTCATCACTTTTTTACCTATCGATTTAATCCAATAGTTATCCTCCCATATATTGACATCAACATATTCTGATGTTTATATCACATTCACGTCTAGAACAGCTGCACTACTAATTTAATTCTTAACTGATTCCATTTCGCGGAAAGTTGTTTTAGCATTATTCTCAGAAAATTCTGTGTTCCAGGTTTTCCACTGAATTCGAGTATTATTACCAAAGCCAGATTTTGTTACAGAATCGCCCACGCGTGTTACATTACCCCGCCCATCGCGTCTTCCTTGATTTTAACATCCTAACAATGTTCGATGAACATCTTTACCGTCGCACCACTTAAAATCATTCTGCAATCTAATCAAACTACGCGTTCTGTAACTTTCGCTTTGTGAAACAAACCACTGGACAATCCACGGCTCTCTGTGCACAGCTCAATGTTACAGACTCCAGTTTCTACCTCCCTTTCTCTAGCCATCCATCCAGCTAGCAATTTACGTCCACCTTTCTCTCCGAATGTCTGTCTGTCTCTCGGTGTTGTTTCCAGTATCGCTGTTCAGTGGACACATCAGTTGCGTTAATCACATCAGTGACCAGCTAATTTTGTAGCCAGTTCAGCTGTGAAACAAAACTATAGTAATTTGGGAAGTCCTTAATCAACCTGAGTATAGTCAGAACGTTTATCATTTATTTGTACTCTCAGGTTAAGTATTGGTAGTACAAATGAATTGCTGCAAATTAACTGATTATATTTACGTATTTATTATAAATTCGAGTGTTAGTTAAACATATACAGGCCTAAATAAATATTTTTATAATGCTACATTTAATTCGTGGTTTATATTAATTTGTGTCATGCTCAGAGTATAAATTATTTTATTTATAATCGCATTTAAGTGAATGACTACGCTTTGAAACAAGCTTGGATATATTTACTTGGAGGTTAAAAGAAAATATAAATACGTCTTTAGAAGATAATTTCTCCGTCTTCAAATTTAAGAAGACGTTCGGTTCATTGTAGGCGTTCAAGGAAATAAAACATTTATTCATATGTCTCAGGATAGTGACCAGCGGCGGGCCCTTGTGAACAGAATAATAAGCCTTCAGGTTCAATAGAAGAGACAATAGTCTTACTTTTTTCTTGTTCGTCCCTTCACACAGTTCACTGTCAATTCACTAGAACAGCATGTTTCGGTCCAGTGTGGCCATCATCAGGTTCAATTCCCTGACATTGCCATTGCACTGCTACACTACAGACTAGCAGCTGACCAGCTGAGCTACTCTTAACTTCTCAGAAAGGATTCTGCTCTATAGCGATAATAGCTAGAGATGGCATTGATTAGTTTGGAGAGAACACGTGACAGGACAATGATGACGCCACGCTAATGAAACACCAGGCAACTTCATGTTTAAAGGCAATTAAAAGACCTAATTAAGAATGAGATTCAGTTATACTCTACAACAGTACGATAGCTTGCGCAGGAAAACGAGGTGTCGTCAGTATAATAAACTGTCCAGTGCACAAACTAGCAATTTAACCAGCCAACCAGTAGGTATTCTTCACTGGTATCATTACTTCCGCTACCCATGCGATTAGTTTATGACTTTGCCTTTTCGTAGGCAACTGCTCGTGCTTCTAGCTGGTCATGCTGATGGCCAAAAGCGATGCTTTGTACTCCGCCTTCCACTTCACAATAACGAAGTGTGTGTAATCAAACTTTGCAGTTGTGCCTGCTACAGCGCTCGCTTTGATGTGGTAATGTATCAGCAGCCATGCGCAAGGCCAAGGAGCAAATAGCATATACACGTTACATATTTTTGTGTTTTTTTTTTCATAGTCTCTGGACTAGAGGTGATATCCTTTGGTCAAAACAGGCTTTAGGAGGGGAGGGAACATCATTATGTGGAGTACAGACCTTTATGTGAATGTAACAGTCGTTACCGTGTTCACAAGAGTCCGCCACCAGTCTCTTACCTCTGCCAGAGCCAAGTCCAGACCCCCACTCTGTTAAAGATCCATATTAACATTACTCTCACATGTACGTTTAGTTTTTATTCGCGAATGGTCTCCTCCCATCAGGCTTTCAAATCACAATTTTCTTCTCATTTCTTATCTCCCCCATGCATACTAACGCACCGCTCAGCACATTCCTCTTGATTTGAATATCTTAATTATGAATAATTCACATGTAATTTTTTACCATAATGAATGTGTATCAATGATTTAAAATTTGGAGCAGAGAAATACAAAGTTGTAGATTGATAACGTGAAGGAGGTAGACCACTTGAGAGATAGAGTGGTTGAGGGAAGAATAATATTAAAATTAATATTAAAGGCGTAATGTGTAAGGGAGTGAACTCCCCCTAACTCAGGATATGGTCCATAGGCAGGAACTTATGAACACGAAAATAAAAATCAGGGATCCATAAAATTGTTAAAAACGTCAAGTGAACGATCCAGCTGTTCCTGCCTCACAATTGGTATATAATATCGACGATAAACCCACACGGACTCGGCAATAGGATTTCGAAGATGGTCATACAAACTTTAGAAAACATGTCATGCAGAAAGTGGATTTTGCAATGGAACTTGCCTTCAAAATCAAAAATGCTTTTAAACCTTTAATTATAAATTATAGTCTGCATATTCATAAGATCGCATGAGGGTTCTCAGCGAAAAGGTGTTGTCTATTGCTTTCACACTCCATGATTACAAATCACTTATGCTTAAAGTGGATTTATGTTTACAGATAGGGAGAAGAAATCCATTTATAATCAATTAAAACAGTAAATATCTTACATACAATATCATATAATTTCAGTAATGGCTTCCCATTTAATATTTTGTCTATTAAATATAAATTTCATACGGAAAGTCTGTGCGGGCCTATTATTCATTCTTTGCTTATTGAAACAATTTGAAACGCCCTACTTGTGTTACCAGGTACTTCTGAAACGACAAGTAACGTAAGAGGACTAATACTGATACAAGGTAATCATGCAGTGAAGATAGACCAATTAGCTATAGTTTCACTAATTGATAGATGAAACCTCAGCAAACTCGCGAGGGCCAGATATTAAACACGATACGACTTAAAGCCTCGCTTCAATTAGTGACCGGCAAGTTAGCTCAGCGTTATCCACAATTTGGAGGCACGTATAAGTTAATATGTAAGTCAATTGTTCTCAGTTGGGATTTTATATCATTCTAAAGACGGCGGCTCCATTACTCATAACTTATCGTCGTATGTCTAGAACACATACAAAAAAAAAACAGCTCAGTATGACAATAACACAGGAACCCGAGGTACGTTTACGGATCGGTCGAAACATTGAAACAATGACGACCGTGTGTTACTTATGATGCACGTTTTGTGTGGTCATGGACTGTAACAATTGCTGAAGTTGAGGTGCAGACTAATAATCATATCCGGGATAACCAAAGAATCAGTTCTGATAAAACTGCATATAAAATAAAAATCACATATGGAAAGAAATGGTAAATAAATGACTTACCGCGCAACCAAAAATTGTTTGTTCCTGTTAAATCAATAAACGTGTGCCGATAACGCAGGAGAATAAGATAGAGTCATGTCTAACTGATGTGGTTATTTTGTCAGAATTATAAAGTATAGTATATATATTATTTTTAATTACATTTTGAACTCCACCGTTTGAAATAGCTTAGTGAATACAGACTCCTAAACTATTGTAATCATAACAGACTGTTGCCCAAACCTGCGCACACTGAAATACTACTAAGTTTAACCATTACACTGACGACAATTTAATATTAGCTACACACATCAATGGATATACTGTGTTAGGAATTTGTACACAAACCCTTGAAGAATGAAACAGTCACTCACCGGTACACTTGCCCCAGGTTGTAGTGCGCGTTAACGTGGTTGGGGGAGTATCGGATGGCGGCCAGGAAGTGGCTCTCCGCCTCCTCAGTTCCCGTCATGAGTGTGCCCAGGTTGTTGTGGGCACTTGCGTAAGTTGGCCACAGTCTGCCGAATAATCACAAAGAACACATTTAACTATAAGATATTTTTGAGGTTCTCACGGAGGTGAAGATGTAGGTTGTTGGTGGTCTTCTTGGATTGTAACGAAATGCAGACCTATTGGTGGTTACCAACTTTCAGAGAATGGTTGTCTTCTGTATTGTAGTACCTCGTACTGTGAAAGAAGTTTACTAACGTTTCAGATGTCCTTCTTGCCTCCAACATCAGGACGATGACGTACTCATCGCCCTGATGATGGAGTCAGGAAGGACGTCTGAAACGTTGGTAAACGTTTACCAGATTACACGGCGCTACAACCCAGAAGAAAGCCATACTATTCGCACTCAACGCTGTGTAAACCCAAAATCCTACCAACTGCATACAAATTACACGAAGTCACAAAGCGGAACACCATGCACGACAAAACAATAGAGCGGGTTAAAAGTTTGGTTTAATATGTGTTATTTCATTACTCGGTTGTTAAACAACCGTGAATCAGCGTCTTACGACACTACACTTCTACCTTGGAAATTTCACAGAGTGAAGAATGACTTCACGTATCTGTCACAAACTTAAGGCAGGAACGAAAATAAGAACAGGAAAGGAAAAATAATATTAGAAGAAATATATTTTACGGCACGACAGGCTGTTAAAGTGAAGAGGTCGTGGCCTATTTCAAGGTATAACACTGATATGAGCCTGTGGGGACGGCTGAAGACATTCTCAGTCAGTTTGATCAGTAACAACTACAGTAGAAAACGGATCATTTGTTCTGATTTTCCGAAAAAGGTTCGTAAAAACTAGAACAATATGTAGAAGACTGCATTACATTGATGAACTACTAAACAATCTCCCACTGGACCAATTCAATAGACTAAACCACACTCTGTCGATGCCAAATTAAATATCCTATTATTCGGATTGGTTCTATTTTAAAAGTCCCTAAAGCAAATCGCTTTAGAACAATGCGGAGTTAAGTACTCCATTGTTTAAACTGTTTGATCTATTCGTCAGTAAATTCTCATGCATGAGAATACACGCAGCCTCCAATTGGACCTACAAAACGGGAGACTACTCCTGAAAAATGTGACCAAACCAAAGAGGAAGGGATAGCTGGCTTCTAAAATCCGCAGAGGAACACAGAAATGTACACAGAGCTTTAGAAGGAAAACTACTAGGGAGAATTAGAATTAGATGGAAGGATTACAAAATAAAATCCACAGAACTGATAGCTTGTTTGGAAATTAATGATACGGTAGCTAGCCACTGGACCCTATCCTTAACCAAATAAATCCAATATACACCCTGCAACCCTAATTAGAGATCCACTTTAATATTATCCAACAATCTACGCCTAAGTAGGATTTGAGATTTTTACGGCAGTGATTCCACGTGCGCGGATTCTTTATCGTCCTGAATTACATTTTTGTCAGATTAAATGCAATTTCTGTGTAGCCTGTAATTCTGGACTTTCGCATAGCGTGTCTTCTCGAACAATGATCGTCTGCTGTATTTAGCACTCGCTGTACTAAAATAGTGGTAAAGGCTACCCTGAGGAAGGGGAGGGGAAGTTACTAGCACGAGAAGAAAAGATTTGCACAGCTAGTTATATGGCGAATAATATCGGAGATCGACACGATACAGACAGTTTTCATGGAGCACTAATGATCTCTTGTGGGTGTTTAATTGCACTTCATTTTGTGCAGGACGAGCGACCGGTCAGAGAAAAATTGTCTGTGATAACTTCTATAGAATATAATGTACTTAAAACTGCAAATACGTATGAAAAAAAGATAAGCCAGCTGATGTAACTTAAGAAAATATGCGAACTATAAGTGAAGATTCCAATTACACCACTTCTTTGAGTTTAAATTTCTTCTTGTTTTGCTAAGCCTCGTGTCGCGGCCGCTTTGGTATTAGCGGACTCGAATCATCCGTTTTGCTAGTGGAGAGTTTATTAAAACATAGTAAAACACTAGTCTTTGTTGGTTCTTAAGGGTTAGATCCCTCAGTCTTTACTGTAACTATTACCTAATACGAATACAAGTATTTATAACGTGTTACCATATAAATATCACACATTACGTTCCTGAAATCAAAAATGTTCCATTTTATTTTCCAGTTTACTAAAAACACGTGTTGCACACTGAATGATTCCAGTGTTGCTTCAAACCCAAAAGTTTATACGGACGCTATGTTGGTATTATTGATTGCAGGTAGTTATGAGTTGTTTAAATGGAAAAGTGTCCATTGCCACTATCTTTGAAATGGCTTCAAGAAAATCAAATCAGTTGTCTATGCATAATAGGATTCGGTTTATACGAAAGGGAGGTAGGTTGTTAGATGGTGAACAGGTTGGGGGGACCACTCCATGGACGGCGACCTTGGCGTGGTTAAGAGGGCTTGCGTGTCTCTTTGATCCTAAGGGAAGCACAGACGATGGGCTTTACGATCAGAAGGGCCAGACTAATGGCAGTCCACTGAGAACTAAATCGCCTGTTTCACTGGACAGACGACTTTGGTCAGAATAACACACGATCAATACACATTTAAACGAACATGATATTCTGCTCCGAAAATAGACAGAGAATCTTGTTAAGTACATACTTATTTAAAAAGAGATTATATAAAACTATTTAAATTCATAAGTGGCGGAGACCTACATATCAGAAGATTATTAGCTTCAATATCCAGTTGTAGATGAAAATGGGCGTTATTCGAAATGTTTTAAAGTGAATTTATGTGAAAACTGCTTCCGTTGCAAATGTAATCCAATATTAACCACACGTAATTAACTGTCGCTGAGAGGAACGTGCTTGGTCCTACAAATTTGTTTAGTATTGTGTGTTTGGAGTGCGGGATTAAGAAATGAATTAATTATACAAAATTATTTCGAAAACAAATTTATTTAGAGATCTGTATCACGTTTCCGAGAAAAGTAAATAACATGTTATTTAAAGGAATCATTTACTTTATTGAATTCTGAATAGGAAGATGGAACAGAATATTTAGACTGTCTCGGACATTAAGAAGCTGATTAAATGTTGTACTGGAACAAAAAATAAAACTGCTGTCCAACAGATCCCAGCAAACATATGAAACCACGTACCGAAAGAGAAGATGTATTTAGTTTCAACATGATGTAGTCTCATTGCTGATTTTGTAGCAGACCTATTCTTACGGCACAAGTGATTTTGATATAAACGTACTCCATGTGTATTATTTACCTTCCGCAGAGCACATTCGACAATCCTAAAAACGTATTATTTCAATTCCGTCTTACGCCATATATTTGTTTAGACTAAATCCTTTCTGAGATGCAAAAACAATTGGATACATCTTTTTCAACTAAAAAAAATAATATTGCAGAACTGAAACGGCAGTGTAGAGATACATAAAGCCGAGACTTGCACTGAGCCAAGAGAATTTGTAACCAAATCGGGCATTACCATTGCGTTCTGCTGAAGTTACTAACGCCATAAGCGATCTTCGGAGAAGTGCTTGTTTCGTACGCCAAACATCTGTACAGTCGGAGGTTACAATAAGACCTTGTTTCCACTGTGACAAAGCTCGTTTAAAATTCATGAGATAAAATTGCTGGAGTATAGGGACAGAATGGAAGAAACTGCAGAAAATGTGGGTTGGGGTGTAGTAAGTAAAAGAAATACAAAATGAAAGAAAAACAGAGAAATACGTATTTATATAAGCCACCAGAGAGTATGTTTCTGACGGAGACAAAAAAGGGCGAATAAAGACGAATACAGACTGGTACAAGTAGACTCGCGTGTGACCCCTATCTCAAAGAGGGGTAGAACTTTTCGATTGTTACTCATGCAACGGAACTGAACGTAGATGCATCACAATACTGTGAATTTTTTTTATCCTATTTATTTAATCAAAAATACTTAAAAACATGATCATACAAACTAAATTTTATCGAAGAATTTTAAGAACAGTACTAGCTACTAAAATCCATTGAGCAGAGTTCTTCTGCAGAAGCTGACAGTCGCTCAGGTAGCCAAGAAATTGTCGGCTTCTTGTGAAATCCTAAATTCATTGCATGTTCTTTATCCTGAGGCAAACTAATCCAGTCCACACCCTCATAATACCCAAATTAAATATCCCTTTGTACGTTAGTGGTAACTATGTATACCATCTGAATGTAGGTTACAGCTATAATGTATATTTGGGCTAAAGAACAAACATTTTCCTAAAGTAATTAATGTACTTACATGAGTAACAGTTATGTGTTGTACATCCCTGGAGACAAGAACTACGTTTCTAAATTCAACGTGAGTATTATCTTTTAAGTTAAGTCAGCAGAGACATAACTAAAGTCTGTAATAAGAGAGATGTTAGTGGAATACGTGTGTTGACAGACAGTCTCTGTGGACGGCACAGAAGGAAGACGTAGCTATGTCGATAGTTATTACAGCTTAATGCTAATGCGAGTTTGAAGTAGGTCAGATATGTAGAGAAGTTGTAGGTTACAGATAAAAGTAAGATAGTGAGACAGAAACGTCTGGAAAGTCTAAGTTTATTATAGATTTTGGTGGTTCTAGTGTGCCAGACAGAATTGGGTCACCAGATTTTGTGCATTTTGTAGACGATCTAGATATCTATGTTCAACCAGCCACCAAAACACAAGGGTCATAAATACTGCTGACAAAAAGAGTCCTGCACAGAAGGTCTCAGATTATAAGACTGTTCGGGTGTTTTGAATAATGCGTATAGCTGAATAAAAATATAATAACTTCGTATCAGCATCCTGGAAAACACCTCAATGCCACATATGTACAAAAAAATGTAGCCTCAATCACAATCATTAAATACACTGTACAAAGGACAACACTGATTCGATATTATGGGAACAATTAAGCCTTCTAAATGATTTTACAAAAGCATTAATGCGCTTTATAATCTCTCCTTGTCGCTTAATGGCCAAGGTGTTGATATATCTAGGCGGATATGGGTGATATAAGTGATTTGTTATTAATTAAGTTGTT